TATAAACATTACGTAACTAAAAAATTCTAAAAATTCTTGAGAATAAAAATGTCTGGGAAAAATTTCAATCACACCTTCTCAAGTTTATCATATCTTCAAAGACACCCCCTCTAGTTTTTGAATCTTCAATGACATCCCCTATAAGATTAAAAATATTAAGTAGAATGCAATTTTATAAAATTGCCCATAATATATTTGAGAACAAACATCATCCACACCCCCTCTAGATAAGCATATCTTCAATGAGACTTCCTCTAGATAAGTATATTTTCAATGAGACCCTCTCTGTTTTCTAATTTTTTTTTACGTAATTAAATTCGAACAGATTAAAATTCGATTCAAGTTAATTAAAATTTATTTTTTTACATATTAAAATTTGTGTCAATTAAAAATTATATCTTTTTTACGTATTAAAATTTGGGCTAATTAAAATTTTGTTTGAGCCAATTAAAAATTATTTTTAATCGATTCAAATCAAATTTTAATCAATTCGCATAGAATGTTTATAAGCTCAAATTTTAATATATAAAAATATATGAATCTTAATTGACTTAAATTTTAATAAATTTAATTGTAATTGACACGAATTTTAATAAGTAAAAAAATATAAATTTTAATCAACTCGAAATAAAATTTTAATTGGTACTAACAATTTAGGTAGAGTTCAAATCGGCTCAAATTTTAATAAGCTCGAATTTTTTTTTAAATTTACGAATTAGTAAATAACAAATTAGTATTTACTAACAAATTATTTACTAAAATTGTTATTTACAATTTTTAAAAAAAATTATATATAGAAAAATTACTTGAGGTTATGTAGGGGCATTTTTGGTATTCTAGATAAATTATTTTTGTTAGAAATGGTAGTTTAATGATAGGGGGTGTTAGTGATGTTTAAATTAAACTAGAAGGGGTGTTATTGAAGATTCAAAAACTAAAGAAGGTGTCCTTGAAGATATAGTAAACTAGAGGGGGTGTTATTGAAATGTTTCCAAATATCTGTTATCACAGCATGCTGCAACCGCACTATTTAAACGCACTGCCCGGTGTCGGTGATGACGGATTCAAAGTTTGGGTGGAGGAGAACACTGGGTACTTTGTGGGCCAATGCGAGATCGAATAGGAGAGGGATGATTGTGGGAGGAAGTATGGTGGTAGCCTCCAGTTTTGTCCCGAAGATCGTGCGGTTGTTGTTGATGGGGGTCAAAGCCGAGATGAAGGCAGGCATGGCATTCTCAAGTTGTTGGTGCCGAATACAAAAGGTGCAGAGAACGATAAAGGAAATATAATTTTAGAATTCAAATATGCTTATCTATTAAAATAGAAAATTATTATTATAATAAAACAAATCCCATAATAGATAGAATTGTCAAATTATATGGTTTAATAATTATGAAAAATAGTATTTTAATAAAAAACTTTAAAATTTGTCCATGTACATATAGACATAATATAATTCAAGTCAATACAAGATTTTTAACAAGATATTTTCTCACAATTAAGTAATTTAAAAGATACCTTCTTACAATATTTCGTATATTTAAGAAGTTATATGTAGATATAAAAATACTATTCATCTAGACCGAGAGTATTTTTAAGTGATAATACTGAGCCCAATGTATGTATTTAAATAAGAGAGTAAATGGAATAAAGTGGATTTATACATTATTTTGTTCAAAATTTCATCCTAATGCCCAAACTAAACGGACCCTATTGTATGAGAAAATATTCATTAAAAAGTGATATCACATGATAATGTGATATGGTATCATTAACCAATAACATTAAAACAAATAAATAAATGAACTCCACAAAAATTAATTATTAACTTGTCATGTAAACAAATAATTTTATACTCTTCTTCCATGCAAGCTTCTATACAAGTGGGGTCCACTTTATGCACTTAAAATTTTATTATTAATTAATGATATTATATCATCAATGATGACATGATATCAACATAATATTGAATATTAACTTTGTTCTCAGTTCAAGAAAAAAAGTCAATGGAACTAAATTTCAATCAAGCCCCAAAAAATGAAGACATCAAGCATAAAACTACATTTAACAACTAATTTAAATTAAAACCTTGTGATTTTTTCTCTCAATCCGAATTAAATCTTATCACTTGTACTAATTATGTGAATATTATTTTGAATTTTTTTTTTAGTTTAACAGTCAAGATTGTTTAAACTAATTTATGTGTACTTTGACTAATCTCTTCCTCGATTCAGTTAAAAGTTGGTCATCTATGTCGGAATAAATTCCTCATGGCCTAGTGTCGAGGGATTGTCAACATTCAATTTCATGACATCTGGATTTATAATTTGTCTATATTACCACTTGAGCTACTCCTTGTGATTATATTATTTTATGCAAAAAATAATGAAGTCAATATAATTATATAGAAAAAATTTAGTTACACTCCTCTAATTTATCATATTTTCAAAAACACCCTCCTATTATCTAAAATATCACTATTAAACATTATTAACATCTCTGCTATTAAACCACAATTTCTAATAAATAAAAATTATTTCAAAGACCAAAACCCCCATGAGCTCAACCCTGAGCATCGCCGCCACCCTTACCCTTACAACCCCCATGACCATCACCACTATCACTAGGGATGTCAGTGGATCGAAACGGGGGCGAGGGGTGTAGTCTCTATTCCCGAACCTGCTTTAAAAAACTCTATCCATCCTCGGTCCACCCCCGTTAACGGGTATAATTTTCATTCTCATCCCTGTTTACAGATAAATTTCTAATTCTCGTCCCCGTTTCCCCCGTACCTGCCCAAGCTCAAATCAACATAATCTAAAATTTTAAATAAATTCAATATTTTAAATAATCTAACAACATTCTAAATAATCTAACACAACATAATGTAGCATAACAATTCCAAACATACAAAAAATCCAAATGATAAAAAAAAAAAAAAAAAAAAAAAGAAGGGTCCCCGACTACTTATACACTTCCATGCTCTTTCTAAACATTGCAACTCTTTAAGATTGTTCACCATCATTTGTACAAAGCCAGCCACTTCCCTACTATCTCCGATCATGAACAAATATCTAACTTGAAATCCATAAAGAACAGCATACAAACAACTAACCATGCCTTAATTTTGATAATATAACTGAGTTTGCTTTTCAACTTCATTCAAAAATTAGATATTATTCTCAAACTTCACAATCAAACCCCCACACAAGCATAGGAAAAAAAGGTTTCCAGATCATCTCAACATAACACAAACAACAAATATTCAAAAACTACTTGAATATTTGTAATGGAAAAACTTTTCTAATGTGTAGCTTCACACCTGTAATTTAATAAAAAAAAACATAAAAAACTATATGTTTTAACGGGTATAGCAGGGGCGGGATAAGTCCATCCCCCGCTTTCATCCCTGTGCAGGGTTTATACGGGTATTTCCGTATACGTCCACTGTCCAATACGTATAGTCCATCCCAAGTCCAAATGAGATGGGTTTACACGAATACCCGTTTTTCTCTGGTCTATTGTCATCGCTATCATCAACCCACCACTATCTTTGCTACCACCCCACCATCAACGTCATTGGCCTACCACCACCCTCGCTGCCCCATCGACACAATTACCATCGTCACTCACCACCTGATTGCTATCACCATCGTCCAATGCTAACACTCACAACCATCGTTGTCTCATTATTATATTTATTACCACTATCACTATCATTCCACTATCATCATCGCCCACATTGTCAACAACCACCACCAACACTCATCACCATCATTGTTGCTCACCACCACCCATTATCATCCGTCGTCGCCCTCCATCGTTGCCAGTCACCCACCCCATACCACACCTACCATTATCACCCCGTCATCGGCCACCACTCTTAACCACCCCCACCACACCTACCACCATTACCCGTCATCATCCACCACTTTTTGTTGAGCTTAAGGTCCTTAATTCAACATAAACATGCGTGTGAATTTTTTATTATATTTTCTTCTAATTTGAACATAATACTGTGACCAAGTCGACAAGCCGATTTTTGAAATAATAAATAACAATTATAATGGTTGATGAGAGTTGGGGGTGTCAAACGCATCGGATTAGGTCATTTCGTGTCGGGGTTGTTTTGGGTTTGTGTCAAAATTTATCAACACTAATCTGATATGTTTAATAATCGTGTCGAGATGTGTAAACACTAATCTGACCTGACAATTAAACGTGTTATCCAAATCTGACTTGTTTGACACGTTTAATAAATATGTCATTTTCGAGTTAACACATAACCCGACATATTAACTTGTTTAACCCACATATCATATTCTACATGTTTAACACCTTTTAAAAAAAAATTAAAAGATTTTATTGAATAAAATTCAATGAATTACAAGAAGCAAAACGAAACTAATTCCTAACATCCATTTCCGATTAAATGGCTTTAATCCTTTAAAACATGAAAAAAAAAATCAAAAATTTCTTCTATGTACACTAAAAACAGCAACTTTCAATGCCTGCACAATCATTCCATCGAATTGCAAGGTTTTACCACTTAGTTGGGTAACAAATGATTCAATTAAAATTCATGCAGTCATGACTATGATTGATGTTTAAAGCAACTACCAATGCACTAATGGCAATAAGAATCCAAGTCTGTTTAAAATATCCACAGGCCAAGAGCAATAAAGATCCAGATTTATGCCACCAAAAATAACTAGAGAGATAGAGAAGGGAAGAGAGAGAGAGAGAGTGTGAGGATGTTCCTGTGTCTCACTCGATCGAAGGAAATGCGCAGAAAATGAGGGAAGGATGTACCTACTGCCTTCGACTTCTGACTATTCTACATTTCGGTTAAGCAGCAGAGAGAGAGAATACAGCGAGAGAGAGAGAGAGAGAGAGAGAGAGAGAGAGAGAGAACACCCAGCGAGAGTGAAAGAAAGAGAGGGGCAAACATTTTCGGTTGAGCAACAATGAACGTTTGACCGACGAAGGTTTGAACGACGATGGCTAAGCAGTTAGCCCTCCTCTCCTCCTCCAGACCAGCGACAGGTGAGAGTGGAAAAGTGGAACTCTGTGGAAGTGGGTTAAGAATTAGGGAAATTTTTTATTTTTTTGGTTTGCTTTTATATATTTGAATAAATGGGTTAAACGGATACTAAATAGGTATGTTGGGTTCACGTCAAATTATATCAACTTGTTTAAAATATACAGATTAATTTAGTTGACCTAATTTCGACATGAATTCGACCTATTTTTTTTCGTGTTTAAATATGTTGATCTGTTTTTATCTATTGACCAATTTAATTTCGTGATCGACCCATTAATTTCGTATTTGATTCGTTTCGTGTTAACGTATTGTGTCAAAACTTGAAGACTCTCGAAGCAAGTATCAAAATATTTTTATTTTTAAAGAGATCGAAATAAATTAACGATTAAATAGAAATTGTACTAATATTTTAAATACTTTTGAGTTGTTTTAAAATATTTTATCTCAATGTTTTTGACAAGACCAAAGTCGACTAACTGGGTTTAGTTAAGTTGGACACTTTTGACTTTCTAACAAAAAGGTAGAAGAGTCAATCTTAGTTCAAAACAAATCATGATCGATTAATGATCAATAGAAAAACAAGTCTTATATTGACATCATCACCCTTGATTAGGGGAAGAAGGCTATGGTACTTTCTGCGTTTTTTCGGTATCATACTAAAAATTTTAAATTACAATATTAGTGGTATATTTATTAAATTTATGGTATATTTACACTAGTGAATAAACAAGACAAGACATACTGTTTAGCAGCCATTAAATCAATTGAGAACAAAATTACAATATTAGTCGGAAGTTTACGATTATAGTGAACAAAATTACAATATTAGTAAAAATTTTATTACATTTGTGGGAATATTTATCAAATTTGTAGGAATATTTACAATTTCAGTGATATACTTACCAATTTTGTGGGAGTATTTATAACTTCAGTGGTATGTTTACAAAATTTGTGAAAATCTTTACAACTTCAATGGATTCATTACTAGTCCATGATCGATCAAATATGATTTTGATCAATCAAATCTCCCCAACACATACTATTGAGTGGGAATATTTACAACTTCAGTGGTATATTTATCAAATTTATAGGAATATTTACAACTTCAGTGGTATGTTTACCAAATTTGTAAAAATCTTTACAACTTCAATGGATTCATTACTAGTCCACGATCGAACAAATATGGTTTTAATCGATCAAATCTCCCCAATACTTTTACTTCTAATTCACAATACAAATCAGCAATATCATGATTGATCAAATATATGTTTGATCGATCGAATTTACTTACCAACGATTTGATCGATCAATATATCATTCTGATCGATCAAATTCAATTACAACTGAATGATTTATCTAATTTTTTAAAATTTTATTTTAAAAAAATGAAAAAATTTTAAAAGCAATTTGAAAAGAGGCAAATATTGCAGCACACCGTCCAGCCACACATGTAATAGTTGGGAGTTTACCTAAGAGTTGGGTGGAAGATTTACCACTCCAGCTAGTGAGAGTCTTACATAGGAAGACCAAAGTAGGGATAAGATGACTTACTGATATAATTCGTCCTAATGACAAATTTTTTAGTAATGCAATGTCTATTCCTGACCCAAAAAAAAAAAAAAAAAAATCTCTCATGCCTCTCTGTTATGGGCACTGTTCTACCATTCGTTTGGAATCTCTCGTGCTTCTAATGGACCCGACATAAACCAATACCTATCTGTCTATTTATGTAAACTAATAACCATTCACTCTAAATATATTAAATGTTTATTATATTTTTTTTGCCAAAGGGATTTGTTAAATTATAAATTATTGTTTGTATTATAATGTTTTGATATTGTTGTATATAAAAATTAATTATGATATATATTTGATATGTTATGTTGTGATCGATTTTAAATAACTTCAAACAGTTGTAACTTGGTTTAAAAAAGACCTAATGATGTGGGTTTAGTGAAATAATTTGATCAACATCAAGTTTCAATATTTGATGAGATTCACAATCAATCCAAATATCATATTGAATTAGTTCAACAAATTAAATCAGAATTTTAAGTTGTAGTATCACTGCTTTTTTAAAAGTATAACTTGATCTTTGAAAGTTATATGTTTTGTAAACGAATATAACATTTCATAATTAATAATTATTTTTTGAGTTAGAATTTAGATCTTTTGAGTTACGACTTGGATTCTTGGGAGTTTTAATTAGATCCTTATAAAATTAAAATTTGAACTTTAAAAGTCATAATTTTAATTTATTACCCTTTTGAATACTTTAGTCGCTCTGGTCTTCTTAGACTGATTCAATGAAAATGCTATATTCCTTCTACATTTCCACCTGATCTACATCCGAGCTTTGACGAAATCTGTGTACGAAAGGTCTAAGAACCATGTCGTTGGTTGACTTACGCGTTAAGAAAATAGAAAATTTTCGTAGGTTTGAAAAGTCTACCCCCACAAACCTTCCACCATGTTTCTTAGAATATAAGGACAACCACCACTTCAACGGTAAACTTCCGCATAAAGCCTCTTATTAGAAAATTCAGCTCACGTAATCTGATCTTATTATAAAAGACAGCTACAAGATGGTTTCAGAATACTAAGCCAGATATACAAAAGTATATGCTATTGCGCTCATACTCATAGCCTTGTTTGTTTTGTGGAATTACCTATTATGGTTTTGTGTTGTTTCAGAAACGGTGGTGGCCGCAGAAAGAAACGTCCGACCGCTACTGCCCCTCAGCCTCCACCTGCACCAGTTTATCTTGGTGGAGGAAAAGGTCGAAAAACCAAAAGCAGTGGCATTAAAGATGGTGGAATTGCAATTATGGAATCTACTGCAGCTGTAACAGAAGCTTTAGTAAGTGTTAGTGTTAGTGATGGTGGAGGAGGTGGGGGTGGGGCTTGCGGAGGAGGAGGCGGCGGTTGCGGGGGTGGGGGTGGGGGTTGCTGAGGTTGAGATGAAGACTTGGATTGGGTGGCGTATTCCTCTGGGTGTTGTTTCTTTTGCTTCTGTATATTTCATATGCTTTCACAGATATAATTGAGTTGCTCGTGTGGGTTGGATAAATACTTTAGATGCTAGCCTTAACGTTGTACAGACCATGTAATTTTTCATTTGTTTGTATGCGTTATGAATAAAATTTCAATTGTCTGAATTCTCATGGCTCTATTTGTATCTTATGACTTAGATTGATAAGATTGAGATTGATTACACAAAACCCACTCTATTTTTCCACAAAAAAAAATTCAAAAATTAAACTTTAAATCGTAATAATCAATCCTAGAGTTATTATTTTTTATTCAAAAAAAAAACCATCCAAAATTCATATACTTAACCCAAATACAAACTTTGAAGTTTGTAAAAAAAAAAAAGGTTATTTTGGAATAAGTTTGGGGTTATTTGTCTTTCAAATAGAATTAATGTTTCGGTGATGACGGATTCGAAGTTTGGGTGGAGGAGAACACTGGGTACTTTGTGGGCCAATGCGAGATCGAATAGGAGAGGGATGATTGTGGGAGGAAGTATGGTGGTAGCCTCCAGTTTTGTCCCGAAGATCGTGCGGTTGTTGTTGATGGGGATCAAAGCCGAGATGAAGGCATGCATGGAATTCTAAAGTTGTTGGTACCGAATCCAAAAGGTGCAGAATACGATAAAGGAAATATAATTTTAGAATTCAAATATACTTATCTATTAAAATAGAAAATTATTAATATAACAAAACAAATCCCATAATAGATAGAATTGTCAAATTATATAGTTTAATAATTATGAAAAATAGTATTTTAATAAAAAAAATTAAAATTTGTCCATGTACATATAGATATAATATAGTTCAAGTCAAAAGTATTTACCTACACAACATTTTCAACAAGATATTTTCTCACAATTAAGTAATTTAAAAGATACCTTCTTACAATTTTTCGTTTATTTAAGAAGTTATATGTAGATATAAAAATACTATTCATCTGGACCGAGAATATTTTTAAGTGATAATGCCGAGCCCAATGTATGTATTTAAATAAGAGAGTAAATGTAATAAAGTGGATTTATACATTATTTTGTTCAAAATTTCCTCCTAATGCCCAAACTAAACGGACCTGTTGTATGAGAAAATATTCATTAAAAAGTGATATCACATGATAATGTGATATGGTATCATTAACCAATAACATTAAAACAAATAAATAAATGAACTCCACAAAAATTAATAATCAACTTGTCATATAAGCAAATAATTTTCTACTCTTCTTCCATGCAAGCTGCTTCTATACAAGTGGGGTCCACCTTATGCACTTAAAATTTTATTATTAATTAATGATATTATATCATCAATGATTACATGATATCACCGTTATGCTGAATATTAACACTATTCTCAGTTCAAGAAAAAAACTCGATGGAACTAAATTTCAATCAAGCCCCAAAAAATGAAGACAACAAGCATAAAACTACATTTAACACCTAATTTAAATTAAAACCTTGTGATTTTTTCTCTCAATCCGAATTAAATCTTATCACTTGTACTAATTATGTGAATATTATTTTGAATTTTTTTTTAGTTTAACAGTCAAGATTGTTTAAACTAATTTATGTGTACTTTGACTAATCTCTTCCTCGATTCGGTTAAAAGTTGGTCATCTATGTCGGAATAAATTCCTCGTGGCCTAGTGTCGAGGGATTGTCAACATTCAATTTCATGACATCTGGATTTATAATTCGTCTATATTACCACTTGAACTACTCTTTGTGATTATATTATTCTATGCCAAAAATAATGAAGTCAATATAATTATATAGAAAAAATTTAGTTACACTCCTCTAATTTATCATATTTTCAAAAACACCCTCCTATTATTTAAAATATCACCATTAAACATTACTAACACCTCTCCTATTAAACCATAATTTCTAATAAATAAAAATTATTTAAAAGACCAAAATTGCCCCTACATAAATTCCAAATAATTTTTTACATAAAATTTGATTAAAATTAGAGCTGATTAAAATTTATTTTTTTATAAATTAAAATTTGAATTGATTAATTTTTTTAAATATTAAAATTTGAGTCTATTAATTTTTTTTTTTACGTATTAAAAATAAAGTCAATTTGAGCTCAACCTGAGCATCGCCACCACCCCTACCCTTACAACCCTAATGATCATCACCACTATCACTAGGGATGTTAATAGACCGAAGCGGGGGCGAGGGGTGTAGTTTCTATCCCCGAACCTTCTTAAAAAAACTCCGTCCATTTTCGGTCCACCCCCATTAACGGGTATAATTTTCATTCTCATCCCCGTCTACAGATAAATTTCTAATTCTCGTCCTCGCTTCCCCCATACTTGCCCAAGCTCAAATCAACATAATCTAAAATTCTAAATAAATTCAATATTTTAAATAATCCAACAATATTCTAAATTATCTAACATAATCTAATGCAACATAATGTAGCATAACAACTCCAAACATACAAAAAATCCAAATGATAAAAAAAAAAGAAGGGTCCCCGACTACTTATACACTTCCATGCTCTTTCTAAACATTGCAACTCTCTAAGATTCTTCACCATCATTTGTACAAAGCCAGCCACTTCCCTACTGTCTCCGATCATGAATAGATATCTAACTTGGAATCCATAAAGAACAACATGCAAACAACTAACCATGCCTTAATTTTGATAATATAATTGAGTTTGCTTTTCAACTTCATTCAAAAATTAGATATTATTCTCAAACTTCACAATCAAACCCCCACTCAAGCATAGGAAAAAAGGGTTTCCAGATCATCTCAACATAACACAAACAACAAATATTCAAAATACTACTTGAATATTTGTAATGAAAAAACTTTTCTACTATGTAGCTTCACACCTGTAATTTAATAAAAAAAAATAAAACATTAAAAATTATATGTTTTAATGGGTATAGCAGGGGCGAGGTGGGGGCGAGATAAGTCCATTCCTGCCTTCATCCCTGCACGGGGTTTATACGGGTATTTTCGTATACGTTCACTGTCTAATACGAATAGTCCATCCCAAGTCCAAACGGGGTGGGTTTACACGAATACCCGTTTTTTTCCGGTCTATTGTCACCCCACCACCATCGTCGCTACCACTCCACCATCAACGTCATTGGCCTACCACCACCCTCGTTATCCCACCGACACTATAACCATCGTCACTCACCACCGATTGCTATCACCATCGTCCAATGCTAACACTCATAACCATCGTTATCTCATTATATTATTTATTACCATTATCACTATCATTTCACTATCTTCATCGCCCCCATTGTCAACAACCACCACCAACACCCATCACCATCATTGTTGCTCACCGTCACCCATTATCATTTGTAGTCATCTACCATCGTTGCCAGTCACCCACCCCATACCACACCTACCATTATTACCCCGTCATTGCCCACCAATGTTACCCACCCCACCACACCTACCGCCATTACCTATCATCATCTATCACTTTTTGCTGAGCTTAAGGTCATTAATTCAACATAAACATGGGTGTGAATTTTTTATTATATTTTCTTCTCAATTGAACATAATACTGTGACCAAGTCGACAAGCTGATTTTCGAAATAATAAATAACGATTATACTGGTTGATGAGAGTTGGGGTGTCAAACGCGTTAGATTGGGTCATTTCATGTCGGTGTTGTTTTGGGTTTGTGTCAAAATTCCTCAACACTAATCTGACATGTTTAATAATCGTGTCGAGATGTGTAAACACTAATTTGACCTGACAATTAAGCGTGTTATCCGAATCTGACTTGTTTGACATGTTTAATAAATATGTCATTTTCGAGTTAACACATAACCCGACATATTAACTTTTTTAACCCACATATCATATTCTACCTGTTTAACACCTTTTAAAAAAAAATTAAAGATTTTATTGAATAAAATTCAAAGAATTATAAGACTTTAATTCTTAACATCCATTTCTAATTAAATGACTTTAATCCTTTAAAACATAAAAAAAAAAATTAGAAATTTCTTCTATGGGCACTAAAAACAGCAAATTTCAATGCCTGCACAATCCTTCCATCGAATTGCAAGGTTTTACCAATGAGTTGGGTAACAAATGATTCAATTAAAATTCATGCAGTCATGACTATGATTGATGTTTAAAGCAACTACCAATGCACTAATAGCAATAAGAATCCGAGTCTGTTTAAAATATCCACAGGCCAAGAGCAATAAAGATCCAGATTTATGCCACCAAAAATAACTAGAGAGATAGAGAAGGGAAGAGAGAGAGAGTGTGAGGATGTTCCTGTGTCTCACTCGATGGAAGGAAATGCGCAGAAAATGAGGGAAGGATGTTCCTACTGCCTTCGACTTCTGACTATTCTACACTTCGGTTAAGTAGCAGAGAGAGAGAATACAGAGACAGAGACAGAGAGAGAGAATACAGAGACAGAGAGAGAGAGAGAGAGAGAGAGAGAGAGAGAGAGAGAGAGAGAGAGAGAGAGAGAGAACACCCAGCGAAAGTGAAAGGAGGAGAGGGGCAAACATTTTCGGTTGAGCAACAATGAAGGTTTGACCGACGAAGGTTTGAACGACGAAGGCTAAGCAGTTAGCCCTCCTCTCCTCCAGACCAGCGACAGGGGAGAGTGGAAAAGTGGAACTCTGTGGAAGTGGATTAGGAATTAGGGAAATTTTTTTTTTTGGGTTGCTTTTATATATTGGAATAAATGGGTTAAACGGATAATAAATAGATATGTTGGGTTCGGGTCAAATTATATCAACCTGTTTAAAGTATATAGGTTAATCTAGTTGACCTAATTTTAACATAAACTCGACCTGTTTTTTTTCGTGTTTATACGTGTTGATCCATTTTTATCTATTGATCTATTAATTTCGTATTCAGCTCGTTTCGTGTTAACGTGTTGTGTTAAAATTTGAAGGCTCTCGATGCAAGTATCAAAATATTTTTGTTTTTAAAGAAATCAAAATAAATTAACTATTAAATAGAAATTGTAGTAATATTTTAAATTCTTTTGAAGTGTTTGACTATGTTTTCGACAAGACCAAAGTCGACTAACTGGGTTTAGTTAAGTTGGACACTTTTGACTTTCTAACCAAAAGGTCGAAGAGTCAATTTTAGTTCAAAACAAATCATAACCGATTAATGATCAATAGCAAAACAAGACTTATACTGACATCATCACCCTTGATTACTGGGAGAAGGCTACGGTACATCCCACGGATTTTTGGTACCGTACCAAAATTTTAAATTATAATATTAATGGTATCTTTATTAAATTTATGATATATTTAAACCCGTGGATAGACAAGACAAGACAAGACATACCGTCTAACAGCCATTAAGTCAATTGAGGATAAAATTATAACATTAGTGAAAAGTTTACGATTATAATAAACAAAATTACAACATTAGTGAAAATTTTATAATATTTGTGGGAATATTTATCAAATTTGTAAGAATATTTACAATTTCAGTGATATACTTACCAATTTTGTGGGAGTATTTATAACTTCAGTGGTATGTTCACCAAATTTGTGAAAATCTTTACAACTTCAATGGATTCATTACTAGTCCATGACCGATCAAATATGGTTTTGATCGATCAAATCTCTCGAACACATACCACTGAGTGGAAATATTTATAACTTCAGTGGTATATTTTTCAAATTTGTGAGAATATTTACAATTTCAGTAGTATGTTTACCAAATTTGTAAAAATTTTTACAACTTCAATGGATTCATTACTAGTCCATGATCGATCAAATCTCTCCAATACTTTTACTTCTAATTCATAATACTAATCAGCAATAACATGATCAATCAAATATATGTTTGATTGATCGAATTTACTTACCAATGATTTGATCGATCAATATATCATTCTGATCGATCAAATTCAATTACAACTGATTGATTTATCCAATTTTTTTAAATTTCATTTTAGAAAAATAAAAATTTTTAAAAAGGAATTAAAAGAGAGGCAAATGTAGCAGCACACAGTCCAGCCACACATGTAATAGTTGGGAGTTTACCTAACAGTTGGGTGGAAGATTTACCACTCCAGCTAGAGAGAGTCTTACATAGGAAGACTAAAGTAGGGATAAGATGACTTACTGATATAATTCGTCCTAATGACAAATTTTTTAGTAATGCAATGTCTATTCCTAACCCAAAAAAAAAAAAAAAAAAAAAAAAATCTCTCATGCCTCTCTCTTATGGGCACTATTCTACCATTCGTTCGGAATCTCTCGCGCTTCTAATGGACCCGACATAAACCAATACCTATCTATCTATGTAAATTAATAATTATTCACTCTTAATATATTAAATATTTATTATATTTTTTTGCCAAAGGGATTCGTTAAATTATAAATTATTGTTTGTATTATAATCTTTTGATATTATTGTATATAAAAATTAATTATGATATATATTTGATATGTTATGTTGTGATCGATTTTAAATAACTTTAAACAGTTGTAACTTGATTTAAAAAAGACCTAATGATATGAGTTTAATGAAATTATTTGATCAACATCAAGTTTCAATATTTGATGAGACTCACAATCAATCCAAATATCATAATAAATTAGTTTAGCAAATTAAATCAAAATTTTAAATTATAGTATCACTGTTCTTTGAAAAGTATAACTTGATCTTTGAAAGTTATATGTTTTATAATCGATCATAACATTTCATAATTAATAATTATTTTTTAAGTTAGAATTTAGATCTTTTGAATTACGACTTGGATTCTTGGGAGTTTTAATTAGACCCTTATAAAATTAAAATTTGAACTTTAAAAGTCATAATTTTAATTCAATACCCTATTGGATACTTTAGTCGTTCTGGTCTTCCTAGACTGATTCAATGAAAATGCTATATTCCTTCTACATTTCCACATGAACTACATCCGAGCTTTGACGAAATCTGTGTACGAAAGGTCTAAGAACCATGTCGTCGGTTGTTTAACGTGTTAAGTAATATAATATTTTCGTAGGTTTGAAAAGTCTACCCACAAACCTTCCACCATGTTTCTTAGAATATATGACAACCACCACTTCAACGGTAAACTTCCGCATAAAGCCTCTTATTAGAAAATTCAGCTCACGTAATCTGATCTTATTATAAAAGACAGCTACAAGATGGTTCCAGAATACTAAGCCAGATATACAAAAGTATATGCTATTGCGCTCATACTCATAGCCTTGTTTGTTTTGTGGAATTAGCGATTATGGTTTTGTGTTGTTTCAGCAACGGTGGTGGCCGCCGAAAGAAGCGTCCGACCGCTACTGCCCCTCCGCCTCCACCTGCACCAGTTTATCTTGGTGGAGGAAAAGGTCGAAAAACCAAAAGCAGTGGCATTAAAGCTGGTGGAATGGTATTTATGGGATCTACTGTAGCTGCAACAGAAACTGGAGGAGGTGGTTGTGGTCATCATAGTGGTGGTGGTGGGGGTGGGGGTTGCGGAGGAGGAGGAGGAGGAGGCGGCGGTTGTGGGGGTGGGGGTTGTGGTGGAGGGGGTTGCTGAGGCTGAGATGAAGGCATGAAGTTTCAGTACTTGGATTGGGTGGCGTATTCCTCTGGGTGTTGTTTCTTTTGCTTCTGTAGATAATTGAGTTGCTTGTGTGGGTAGGATAAATATTTTAGATGCTAGCCCTACAGTTGTATAGACCATGTTGTTTTGTCATTTGTTTGTATGCGTGATGAATAAAGGCTCTATTTGCATCATTGTATGGTTGTCAAAAACTAGAATGTTAATGGAGATTAATTTGTCAAACTTTCATAGACTTAGATTGATTCGATTGAGATTGATTACCCAAAACCCGCTCGATTTTTCCTCATAAAAAAATCAAAAATTAAACCTAAAATCGTTGTAATTGGATTGATAATACACTCTAGTATTAATTGAGACTCGTTATGAAATCAATAATTGTATTGTATTATGTCGATAAATAAAGTTAACAAATTTTTTTTTGTAATACATTTTTAATTATAGTTAAATATTGATTTATGTTTACATTATGATTAATTTATAGAGACGTAAAAATTTGATCTTATTTAGTAACATAATAATCTATAATCTAAAATAAGACAAGTTTTAATAAATTTATTTGACAATTTCAAATAAATTTATTCAACAACCACTAACATCTCTCTTAAAATTATTCACATTGTACTGTATCTTCAAGCACGAGTTATTCTTAGACCAGCCCAGGGTGTGTTTGATTTAGGCATTAGATAGTATTGAATTGGACAAATCCGTCTATCTCATATCCATTCACCCCGACTTTGAACTAATTATTGTGATAATATTTATTTATTCTATATTTGGTTCAAGTATTAAGAAGTAGTAAGTTTCATATTTATCAAATTCAATATTTTATTTAAATGGAGTATTAAATGATGGTATAAATATTAAATTATTTAAAAATCCTCAAGATAATTATATCATAAAATTTCTTCAGAGTAAAAATGTCTTTTATTAAAGCATACCCCATCCACACTATTTAAACGCACTGCCTGGTGCTTGGGTGGAGGAGAACACTGTGTACTTTGTGGGCCAATGCGACATCGAATACAAGAGAGATGATTGTGGGAGATGAAGAAGGACATTTTCAAGTTGTTGGTGCCAAATACAAAATGTGCAGAGGACGATAACGAAATATAATTTTAGAATTCGACATAGTTTCTTTTGAAAATAGGAAATCACGAAAATATGAATTTATTTAAAAAATTGAAAAATAATCAGTGCCTGATGGCACTGCAACATAATTAAATCAAACAGAGATCCTGTAGTACAAATATTTCAAATAGAAACTTGTTTTTCCTTCCTTTCTTTAATTACACAAATTAAAATCAGTATTTGCCGATTATTTTCTAAAGCAATTCGACAAAATTTCATTCCAAAACAAGCACCCAAAAATTTTCTAAAACAATTTGACCAAATTTTGCTCAAAAGCAAGCACCCAAAAAATATAACAACTTGTAAACACAACCTTCAAATTTCATAAAAACACCTTAAAACGGTAGTATTACTTTTTGAAAAACACGTACTTAAAGAAAACACGGTCCAAACTAATCATAGGACTCACCATTATACCACAATCATGTAGTAATACACTTACATTGAGCAAATACTACAACAACATAATAGCCATTGACTAATAACCATTTCGTCACTTGTGCCAAAAACTAATCAACATACAACTACTATACAAATATAGCAACTAAACAAAGCCGAACAAATTAATAAAATCAATCTGTCAACTCTTCTGAAATCAATAAACATATATAACAATCACACAAAAACTAATTATAACATAACTACCCATAAAATGTATAACAAACTTGCAATCAAAAATTCTCATAAAAACAATCATTAAACTGCAGTGAACCTGTGCAACTTAAAAAAAAAATAGAAACACCAATAATTAGGGAGTGTGCATATAGTTATTATTCAAAGAAGTTACCTATAAAGAAAATTATAATTAGAAATTATAGCACAATTATATATCGTCCAAAGTATGGAACTTGACAAATGAAACCCACAAAAATAATACATTTTTCGCCCAATACCTGTTCTGTGATCTTAATTCCATTCTACTCAACACAGCTAATGAAAATTAAATAAATTTATCTAAATTAAGTTAGAACACTTGAAAAGATAACTACAACTAAGTACTGTCTAAAGTGTTTTCCATACTTGGAACACGTAGTCATTTTGTCAAAAGGTCTTCTCTTCTCATCTTTTCCTTAAATCTCGCCGCAAAACCAAGAGTCTACAAAACATGTATGTGATAAATAATAAGAAAAATCAATACTTTAGATCTCAAAAGAAAAAAAAATAATGATTAAACCTTGCATTCATAATGAACCGATTACAGGCAAAGTAATTCTTGTAGATTTAATTCGTGCATTGGTACATGTAAAAATATAAAGTAATACAATTTCAAATTCATTTCATCTCAATGCAGTACAATTGCAAAGGAATTTTATTTATGTAACCAAAGAAGGTATGCATTGATTAATCATATAAATGTAGCAACACTTTAAGAACAACAAAGGTATCCATCCTACCTCTGAAGCTAAATAAAACCCAAAAATCTTAGTATCCTTATTATTCACGGATTTTTGCACAGTTTGCATTTGATAATGACTGAACTCAGTAGCGTGTCGTAACTCGTAAGAACTACTAAAGTAAAATTAAAGTGTCAAGCAATGACACATATTCAGGAAAAATATTAGGGAAGAGTAAAGTTTGAGCAAAAGAAACCACACAAAGTAAAATAAAAGTTGCTTAATTTGTATATGTAGCAAAATGAATAGGGAACAATAAACAATGGCACACACGACACATGGAGAGCGTATAACCCAATTCATCATAATTGGCAACAATCCAAAAATAAAAACATACCCCCATAAATTCACCAAATCAAAAAATTAGAAATATTAATTAAATCCACAGATTCATTGAATCCTAAGAATACTACAATCTATATGCATGCTTATGGACTAATTTCACAAATTAATCACAGTAACCACATGCCACGTATATAGACATGTGTATACGCAACTCAATGAGACACTTGCTTAATGGTGACTCTAAGGCTCTAAGCACACCAACATCATGGAAAGAATAAGTAGTTGATTTCCACATTAAGTTAGTAATTTAGGTGGTCTAGAACATGCAAGAAAATGTTGTTAGCCTCCACATCATGTCCAACACTAAAATCTTCAGTGTCCTACACAACCTTACCTACCACCGAAAAATCATTTCAAACATACTCAATTCTAATCTATAGTGACGTGATGAATTCACAATTATATATAGCATTACTTGCAGCTAAAAGAATGTCAAGCTTGAAGAAGCTCGTGTGCTACTCGGACTGACACAAATGCTGAAATAGCCATGGAGTGCACATACTCTCCAATCGTGAACATCCATCTTCCAATTACCACTGCTATTGTTTATCAAAAAGTAAGAACAAAACACTAATTGCACGGGATAATTCCTGCAATAGTATGAGACAGCGATCTCCAAGCTGGCGAACTTGAAACAACAGGGTCAGAAAAAAGGGGGTCAGGCGAGCGCCCGACTAATCTCCTCTGAAGCTTAAGTCAATATAAGGTCGAAGGGTTTTGCTCAATAGACTATTTTTCTGATTCAAGTTTGCATACTTTTGTCTATTTTTCTGAGGAGTATTTATACCTGAATTAACAATAATTGCCAAAGATCTCCAGTCTCATCTGGACATCTTACATCTGACACACTATTCCTCGTGCAATGAGTGTTTTCTACTCACGTCTCCTCCTATTGAATGCTAGGAAAACAGGGCAAATGCTCTGTCAAATGCCGAGCATTTATGCCACTCCCCCAATACCCAAATCCCCTTGATCGGCATCCGACATCAACTGAGTATTGAATACTCAGGGGGAACAGTTCTTCGGGAGAGTCGATCGCGTCGTCTCGGCGCATCAGCCATCATGACAGTAGGCTTAGACTCCCAGAGGACAGGTGCTGACAAGCGCGCATTTATTTGTTTTATCACTATCACTCATTCCACTATAAATGAGGGGTCACATCGCATTAAATACAATGTCAGCTGTCGTACTCGACTGCTCCGTGTCACCATAGCTCGGCTTACCTCCTCGGCGCCCTTTAGACATCCCAACGACTCATTATTCCACGTGTTAACCCAGGGGTTGTAGAGCCACCTAGAGTCCCACCAATTGCCCCTCAGCTGTCATCCTTTTCGCAGTGTAAGATAAGTGGCGTAAAGAGATTGGGGGCTCCATCATTACGCCTTATTAATAGCGACGATTACTTGCACGTCTGGTGCCGCCCTTTTCAAATGCCCTAATGATGACCCAACTTTTTGATTCCCGCTCCCTGTGAGGCAGTATAAATAGGAGGTTTTCATACATTCTCAGAACTTTTACATTCTCAACCTCTCTTCAACAATCAGACCCCGAGTGCTCATTTTTTTCCTCTGAGTTTTCTTCGTCCTTCGAGCTCTCTCTTTGAAGATCACCTTTCTGTAAGTATTTTTACTTGAGCTTTTTCTTTCTTCATTTCCTCTACTTTTCGTCCTTTTAGCACCCACCAATGGCTAGAACTAGTAGAACTAGGGGAGAGACGTCTGTTAGGGCTAGGACTACCCACAAGATGAGGAGAACCCAAGTGACTGATGAGAATATCCAAACATTTAGGGTTAGGTACCACATCCGTGAGTCTGTCTTTGCTTTCCTTTTCGACCCCACTCACCATAGGAGGGATATGGAAAATGTGAACATGATGATGCCTTTCTAGACGAAGGCCATCATAGAGGGAGGGTTGACCTTTCCCCTCCATCCCTAGTTGCTGGGAGTGTTGATGCAACTGAAGCTCTTTTCCCTTCGATGTAGGGTTAACTTCTTTAGGATTGTGATGGGCGTAGTCGCCTTAAACACTCGGCTAGGGACCAACTTAAGAGTAGATAGAATTTTATTCTACTACGACTTGAGGCTAGTCACCGGGGGACGATATTACCTCTAAGCTCGAGAAGCCTCAATGTATTTGATAACTCACATGCCCGACTCGGATAAGGGGTATGTAGACGATCTGATCATGTTCGACGGAAGTGTATCCACCCTATATCATATTCAACATAAAAAAATATAAATGTATAACATTATTTTTATCTATTAGTGACAGTAAAACTTGTACTTAAAGTGTATCCACCCTATATCATATTTTTTGCTCCATTAC